TCAAAATTTGATCTTAGGTCAATTTACTGTTTCCTCTAAGCACACGATGAAAATAATAAGCGCATCGCTTCATATGATATCCCTCTGTCACACAAAACCTAATGCCACTCCACCCGCAGATAGCTTCATTTAGTTACTCCCCTCCTCTCCCTGCTGGTGTGAATCTGCAGACTTGCATGTGCAAACACAGACCAGGACAAACATCTAAGCATCTAAGCAGTCAATAAACACGAAAAGGGCTACCAAGATTTGCTGACAGCACTGAACAAACACCTGATGTTATGATGCTGCTGAGGTAAGGCATGAAGATCAAACTCCTTTTGAAATATGAAAGGACAGAGATGAGGCAGAACAAACCAGCTTGAAATCTCAGACAATTTGAGTAAACAGGCTAATCAGGCTGGCTAAAGGCAGGTGAGAAGAGAACGATTTGGGGAGGAAAAACACCACACACGCCAGTCATTCTGGTGTCCAGCTCAAAGCTTCTGCTGTCACACAGCCAAGCTATTTCTATTTTCAGTGGGCTGTGCCTAACGATGGGTATCACACAACAGTTATTAAATCAAATTCCTGCATTCGGATGCAGGCACAGAGCTACACTGTCAGTGCACAGAGACACCCAACCGAGACCACAGGCTCCTCAAAACCTTCCTGTTACTTGCACATTTTGTTTGTGCAACAGTAGTGCTTCTGTTTCAAAGCCCACATCAGCTGTTAAGCTTTATGCCATCTACTCTGCCTGTCCAACACGTAAAACTGCCATAGCTAACATCTGCCTGAAGCACACAAACACGGTCGAACAATTGCTAAAAAATTATTTACACTCATTGGACGGACTCATCTGACACAGAATTTGGAGCTCATTAAACAGCTCCTTGACAAATGTTTGTCAGCATTTCTCATTTGTAATTAATTATATTGGGCTTTACCTGACAGTAATTTAGCATGGTCTCAAAACAGCCTAATGCCTGCGTGCTGAACAGGAATTAGCTCAGCAAATGCACAGTGAGAAACTGTGCCAGTTTTATGAAACAAGAATCCTCATTTAAATGCAAGTCATCCCCCCCCTTCCCACCCCACAACCACGTCTATTTGTGCTTTATAAATATCTGTCCCCCATTTCAGGCTTGTCAGACGAACTGCCTGAGTTGAAGCTAAACAAACATCCGCAGAAAAAAAACTCATTACCTTACTCAGTGTTCAGAAAACCTGAAACCAACTGCTTACTCCATAGGGATGGTCAGAGCTGACTCAGGAAACACAAAGTACTTCCCAGGCTTTAAGCTACCGTAACATTCAGGTCAGATTTCATTTCTCATCACAGTAAACCATCTTCACCACCGCACATCAACAGCCATGTCACGTCAGTCTCCTGCCCAGAGTCTTTGCACCAGCGGCTGGAGGGAGACAAGCATCTTCGCCAAAGCTCACCTCACTGAGGAGCTCCACATAATCCTCCCTGCCAGCAGTGCCAGAGCACATCATGTAGAAAGTCACTCCAACAGATTGATTCATCACATCTTGAGAAATGCCCTTTCCCTGTCAAACCGGTGTCTAAAATGCCCACCCAGGTTTGGAGAACCTCATGCTATTATTGCTGGTAACAAACACAGCAGTGGTGCAGCACCAGGTTACACCAAGGTGGGGAAAGCCCTCAGCTTGACAAGACAGCGCTCACACTAATACAGGCACTGAGTGCCCGTACCTTTCTCAGGCACAGGAAGATGTGCCTAAGAAATCTAGCTTTTACAGGCTGGAAGATTTTGGGAGGTCAAGGAAGTGATGTGTGAGGAACCACTCTGGAAGTTTTAAACCGCAGAGGTTGCTGCCATTAGTCCCTGCAAGGCTACTCATGGGAGGATCTGGTGGATCAGACCTAACCCTAGGAACACGCCTCAGCTGTTTAACTACAGAACAGGTGCTGGTTTCTGAAGGTCAAAGCTCCAAAATGCTCCCCAGTGTAGGGCCCAGGCCTGCACTGCATATCACTACACCAGAGTCTAGCAAAGCCAGGTGAAGATCAGTCTTGTCACAATTCCAGTGACACAGGATTTGCTTGACTGTCACTCCTAGGGAAACAAAAACTCCATCATCAGAACCTACTGTCTTTGTTCAACTCCCTCTTCCCCTTTATTCCCCACGCAAACATTAGAGAGATCAAGGTCCAGGGTGCCATAAACCCAGAGACAGATAGCCAGAAGCAGATGGCCTCGATTTCTACACCAAACAATTTACACTTGAGAACCACGAGAAGGCTGCTGACACCTGGACAGAAAAGCAGCTCCGGGAGTGGAAGTGGGTTAAAAAGATACTTTTGTTTCAAGGGATGGGAACTTTTATCAGCATAACTATAACAGACATGGACAACTCCTACTGAGGCTACAGTGGCCATGGGATGTGCACTCTTCTTGTGTAGCCCTTGCCACCTACGAGCTTCACACAACCTGGTATTCTGCGCAATTTGGGTTTTTTCAGTCACCCCAATAAAAAGCATTTAGTAAAAGACAAGTAAAATGAAGTTATATTCTTGTTCTTTGCAACTTTATAGAGAGCATTCATAAGAACATCATAGGGTGACACCTCACACAGACCCAACTCACACACCTACTGCTTTAAAGATGTCCCCACAAGCACAGAGTTCAGCCTTGTCCCTCTGCAGTGGCCATTCTTCCTGTGCAAGCCATCACCCACCAGCTTCCCCTCTTCTGGACCATGGATTTACATCTTGCAGCAGTAAACGCATCCTGCACTTCAGCTCTGTTTTTCACATTAAGCACACAAAACACTCTGTCTCTGCACACTTTCAGCTGTGCTACGCCTGAGAAAAGGCTGAAGTTCAAGCACAAAGCCAGGGCTGGGACACTTTCACATGCTGGGCACAAGTGTCTTCAGGAAGCTGAGGAGAAAACCCCATGGCCTCCAACAGCACAGGGTCAGACCCAGAGCAAGAGATGTATAAACAGCAGGTCACCTCTCCATGGCACCCAAGGCTTCTTGTCTCAACTCGAGCACATTAACACCTAAACATCTCACCAAGGCTGAGATATCTCACTCTACCAGCCACTCACAACCTCCTCACCAACACTAAAATCCCAATAAAAACTTCAGGCAGCTACACACAACGTACACAGTCATTCCTGCCACACTGGGCTTGTGCCTTAGACACCTTCATCTCCCTCTGATCCTCAGGAACAAGTTTCTCAACATACACACCAAGCTGCAGGATAAAGCACCTAACAACGATTTTGTGACACTACTTCTCAACACAGCATGAAATCGTTAGGTCAAAATGTGCCACCTATCACATGAACATTAAAAGTATGTCAAGTCTCAGTGTGTGAGCTATTGTTTTATCTGAATGTGATATTAGCTGGCAGAACTGGGTAATGTTTCTGCGCTCCTTTTTAGCAATACAGGATTACACGGGATGCAAGTAGTAGCCATTCTTGGCTTTGAAAAAGGAGCACAGCAATTATTTTCAGTTCAACTGGAAAATAAGCAAATAAGCAGCAAAACAGAATAAAGACATTTTCCAAAGCACCCTGACCAAGTTCTGAACATAAAACTTGCTCTTCACTTCCCCTCCAAAAAGCACAATGGCCAAATTCTCAAGTCAAATTTCCCATAAAAACCCCTAACAACACAAACTGGGGCTTTGTTTGAGGAAGAACAGAATTTTACCTGAAACAGAAGCATGCAAATCTCATTCTTGCAGACAGACATGTATCCACACTCCTCCTCTCTCTGGTTGGAGCAGGGCACTGGTGGATGCGTTCCCCAGGTGAAAAACGGTGGTACAATCATCATTACCTCAGAATTTGCTCACTATTGCTCACACAAGTCTAACACCAACCATGTGGAGGTTTGCTGGAGTGAACAAATCCCCCCTCCAATTACACCAGAGGAAGTTCACTTGGAGGCATTAGTCTGGATGGATACAGGTGTAACCAAGGACGAAATTTGGCTCCAAATTACATACAGAAAGAAAGAAACAAAACCCAAAAAACCCCTGAAAACGCCACTGAGTATTCCTGGCTAAAACATATAAACAGCTTAAGAGCTCCACGGATTTATGCTCTTTTTTTTTGTTAAACCATCAGCTTCATCTCCACATTTATTTTGACAGTTCATCATCGTTCCAGTTGTGACTCCAGCACACGTAAACCCAAATAAATCTGCTTTTCACCACGACAAAACTTCTCCGGAGCAGAAGTTACGAGCAACAAAGCCCTGCAAGCCAACGGCCACAGCTCCCCTCGCACGGCAGCATCCCCACGGTCGCGGGTGGGATGGGGGTACACGAAGGTTCCATCATCCCCACACAATCATCGGGGGCTTCCCGGCCAGCCCGGCCCCGGCTGACCCGCACCCCTGCCCTGCGCGTTCGGGGGGTGCTGGTGCCCCCCGCGGGGTGGGAGGCCTTGGGGCCCACTCGTGACAGGCCGGCAGCGAGCGCGGCAGGACGGGCTCCCCGCAGCCCGCAGCAGCGCTCGGCGAGACCGGGAGCAGGACCCACAGGCACCCCCATCCCCACCGCCCCACACCGGACACGAGAGCGCGGCCCCGCCGGGACACCGCGGCCACAGAAAAGTTTGATCCGTGGGAAGAGAAGGCAAGCGCCGCCGGGAGCCCCGCGGGGGGAGCGCGCCCGACTCCCCGCTGCACCGCCCGGGGTGCCGCGGATGGAGGATGGGGAAGGGGGGTCGGCCCCGGTGCCCGCCGCCGCGCCAGAGCCCCCCACCGCCCGCCGGGAGCGGCGCGCCAGGCTGCAGGTGTCGGCGGCGGTGAGGGAAGCGGGGCGGGCAGCGGGGCACCCCGGGGACGGGGAGGGGGCGGTGGGACCGGCCCCGCGGCACCCCCGTTGGCCCCGGCCCGGGAGGAAATGGAGAGGGGGGGAACGGGGCTGAGGACGGAAAGGGGGGGCACGGGTCGGCGAGGAGGGGGCTCCCCCTCCGCTGCCCCCACACAATGAGGCACACACAAAGCGCCGCCGCTCCTACCTCCAGCGCCTCGAAAGTGACGAAGCTGGACATCGCGAAACCGTCGATAATGTCCTCTTCAGCCGACGAGGACTCCCGCCGCTTCCTCCGGGGGGGCCGCGGCCGGGACGGCGGCGGGGGCCCATTGTCTTCCTTCTCCGAGCCCGAGGAGGAGAGCGCCGCGGCGGCCCCGGGGCCGGCGGCCCCACCGGCGGCAGAGCCGCGCCGCCCGCCTTGGGCTCGCCGCTCCCGGTCGCGCTGGGACCGCGATCGCCGCTTCTTCCGAAGCCCGTTGCATCGCGCCGGGCCATCCATGTCTCTCGCCGGCTCTCCCTCTCTCTCTCGTCCCCCCCCCGCCCCACCGCAGCCACAAATCCGGCTCCCCCGGCGGAATAACGGGGGAGGGAGGGAGGGAGGGAGAGAGGGAAGGAGAAAAGGAGGGAGGACAGCAAGGGGGTGGGGGGGGGATGAAAGAATCCGAGTGCGGTTCCACCACCACCAGCAGCAAGCACCAAATGTAAGAGATTCCTATAAGCGAGCCAAGGAAAGTAATGGCTGATCTCAGGTCGCCTTTGTAAAAAAAAAAAAAAAAGGAAAAGAAAAAAAAAAAGAGAAGGGGGGGAAGCCTCAGCAAGCAGGCAATAAATCAGAATAGCGGAACGCTTTGATCAAGGGGCTGGGAGGGCGAGGATCTTCGAAAGAGAGGAAAAAAAGCAGAGAAGGGGGGAAATAAAGAAGGAGAGAGACCCGCTGGAAGGAGGGAGCTGAGAGTATTTCCTTGCACAGAATTTATTTTCTTTCTTCCTTTCCTCCCCAACTAAAAGAAGTTCCAGGGGGGTGAAAAAAAATATATATATAGCTCTGCCTGGAGCTCTCCTTCTCTGCGTGTGTGTGTGTGTGCAGGGAGGGTGCAGCCTTCCCCTCCCCACGAGCACGCACTCACTCCTCTCCCCCTCCTCCTTTATCTCCCTGGATCAAACACAATAATAATAACGATGCATCCAGATGCAATTTTCTCAGGCACCGACCAGGGATGGACTCGGGAGTGAAGATCGGAGCCCAGCCCGGCCCCCTCCAGAAACAAAACCAAACAATAAAAGAGAAGGGGGGGGAAAAGAGGGAAGGAAAATAAGAAAGCCCCAAACACGCCCACCCACCCCAGCTATTAATACGGATCAATCATGGCAAATTCATCGGATTAATTGTGGCGAGGACGGGGTGCTGGTGGTGGTGACAATAGATCCGGGCGGAGAGGCGGCTGCCCCCCTCCCCGAGAACGGCAACGGCAACAGCAGCAACAATAATGATCAAAAATACAGCCGCGGCGCCGAGGCTCGAACACGCTCCAGTGGGGACGGCACCGCCGGGTGCTCCCCGCTGCTGGCGCTGCCCCTTAGCCCCCACCGCGGGCAGCTGCAGCCGGCGGGTCCCGGTGCCGCGCAGCCCCCCGGACAGCGGCCGCCGCGGGGCGGGTGGATGGGGCGGATGGCGCTGCTGGCCCCCAGCGGCCGCCGGCCCCGCGCCCGCGCCGGTCACGTGGCTGCTTGCCGCCACCGCCCCGCCCGCTCCCGGCGCCGCGTGAAATGCAGCGCCCCGGCCGCGCGAAATAAGTCGCGGGCATGCGCGCAGGGCCTGCGCACTCAGGGGCGCGCACACGGCTGCCGGCAGCCCCTCAGCCCCTATGGCCGGTGCCCGCTCTTAGCGTCGCTGCCCCTATGGCCCGCGTCCGCCCTTAGCCTCGCCGCTCGTTGCCCGCTTGCCCTCAGCGGCTCCCGCCCTTCTCTGTCCTCCCGTTGCCCTCGGTGTCCCACGCAGCCTCCTCTCCTCGTCCCACCAACTTTCTCCTCAGTTTTGGACGCCCCGCTGTCCCCTATTGCCTGTCAGCCCCGCGTGTCCAGCCCTTCCCTCAGCCCCTGGAGATGCCTCAGGTGGTGGTTGTCCCTTGCCGCCTCAGCCACTTCTGAGTGCTGCGGCTGCTCCTGTTCAGTCTGTGTCGAGGCCCGTCTCCTGCACACGCACACAGTGGGCTTTTGTCCTCCTCCTCGTGTCCCACGAGGGCAACCCGCACAGCTCTGCCCTGGGAAGCTGGGGCTAAGGCCGCTGCAGGGCAACACCTCAACATAGTTGCCCCATGCAGGTGGCGGGGCTGCAGACAAAACAGGGGCTTTTCTCAGCCCAGCCTGCGCTGTTGAGGTTCGGCCACCTGCAGCTCCCCCTCTTTCCTCTGCCCTTCCCCTGCCGTGTGTGCCCATTTGCCTTCCTCGGCGTTCATGTCTCCCCTCTTCAGCTTTCCCACCCCAGCTGCGTGGGGAGGCCATGTTAGGGTGTACTGCCCGTGTCACCTCAGCACCAAAAGGACTCTGAAACCAATAAATTAACTTCTTGAGTTTGTTCTTATGGTCACCCTTTTCACCGAGTGCTTCTGTCTCCTGCCCAGCGGAAATGGCTGAGGACACAGGCATGGAAGGAGGATGCGTAAAGCTGTTCAGTGTAGCTTCAGAGCAGAGACCCAGGAAGATGACTGGATTTGCTAGGAAGGAAGAAGGGTAGAGGAGCAAGGTGGGGACGAGCACCAGAGCTGTGGAGGCTCAGTGTTTAGGATGGGGAAGGGGGGCTCTGGAAGCAGTCTTGGTCTTCCTGTGTCTACCAGGTGATCAGGCTATTGCACAGTCTTGAAACATTCAGGAAGGCTGGAGAGGAAAAAGAGAAATCATTGAATTCTCCATCTCTGCAAGAACCAAATCAACCTCTTGTTGCCTCCTGTAACTGCTTATCATTTCATTGAGATACCAAGAAGGGCCACAGCAAGGGGAATGAACACAGGCTGAGAACATCCATGTGTATTTTTCCAATAGTCTCCCTCCAGGCTGCTCTGACTCTTGGGATGATGCTCTGCTTGACTGTATAATGTGTGTTTAATGTCCCCTAAGTTAGGCCACCAGTCAAGAAATAGTCCTAATATATTTTCTATGAGAATTAAGTGATTATGTGAAAAACTGGGAATCAGATACACCCTCTCTACCCAGACAGCAAATTACATCTTTGCCACCTCTCTCCACACCACATTTCCCGGATGGCATGCAGTGACTTTTAAGCTGGTGCCTATGGGTGTGAATCAGAAGAGGAGAAAGCACAAAGCTGTCAGTAATCTGATCATGCGTGTACCTTACAGGAGGCCAAAGTGCTCATTGCAGAGGCACATGGCTAGGTTTTAAACATTCTCAAATATCGAGCTAAAGGACATCACCTCCTAGATCTGACCTTAGATCTCCCTGTTCAGATTGCTTTTCTGTTTAACAAACGCGTTCCTCTGTCCTGCTTTGGGTTCTTCTGTCTCACTTAAAGCTGCCTGCCAGATCTATATAATCTGACTATACAGAAGAAGCTGTACAAGGTATTGTTGAAGTGATACAGTTTGTGTGTGCAGGCAAGCTCAAATGTTACAAGGTCTCTGTCTTCTGAGGAATATTAAGCTGTACTGTATCAAACAACTGTTACCTGTTGAGGTTTTTGGAAAATAACTATGTGATTTTCAGGGCAATGTAATTGATTATAGCTTCCTGCACATCCATCACCATTAAAGTGACTTAGGAGACCTGTAGTCAGGTATGTTTCTGCAGATATTCATTGCATGGCTGAGAGTCTGCTCAGTCTCTTTTCTTCTTGAATGCATGTATGTGGGAAACAGAAACAATATGTGATTTATTCTTTGTATAGAAACAAATCCCTAGATTTGCATGTCAACTGAAAAAAATAATATTAAAACCCATCCATCTAACTCATCTTCTATTGCAAAATGTTTTTCTTCTGCATAATATTTGTATCAAACATTAGAAATCACTGGCCACCTTCTTGGATATAATAGAGGTAAATTACACCTTTTCTGGGTCTGCTCCAGCATAAGTGTTTATTGACTTGGGAGGGAGGGCAGGTAGGCTCTATGGTTACACAAAACCTCTGACAGATACTCAGGAATCTCTGTCTCCAGTGTGTTCTTGCCTCCAGCTGAGTAGCTAAAGTCATCTTACCAGGAAGGATACCACTGACCTCCATGCACACTTGTTCTTAGGCTGCCTGTTAGCCTCTCCCTAGAAATACATCTTTCTTGGCATCGGGTTTGAGAAAATAGCACTTTTTTGCTCCCCCATATATTCTTCTTATAGGCACTAGTATGCTCTGGTACCTTGCCTAGTCTCTGTTTTTGAGGTTAATTGCTAGGGTACTCAACTGGATACTCTTAGTTATTAACACACACAGAAAAGGTACTTTTTGAACGTGTACCTTTGATCTTCTGATCTGAGACAGATACCAAAAGCTTTCTGTTCCTAGGTAATGAAGAGAGAAAGGTTAACACAGAGCCAAAGCAAAAATTGCAATTTCCTTATCACCATTAGACTTTGGAGCAAAATAAAATTTGCAGCCATAAAAACACTAAAAGGGGTTTTCTGAGGACTAGCCCCTGGCATACCAATCTGAAAAGGATACTTTGAAATAACTTGAAGATCAGGAGGTAATTCATTGCTTGAGGAAATGGCAAGAACCTTGCTTCTAGCAAGAGTAATTTGCACTGTTTCGGCATTAAGCTGTAAAGATGGAATTTAAGAGACTTTAGTCCACATGAGATGCTCAGCGGATGCAAGCATGTCTTTTGGGGGTTAGTATCTTTAGGAGATGGGTACTTTAAAATAGCAGAATGTTTGTCTTGCAGACTGTTATTTTTATTTTAGAAAGAGTTTGATCTGGGAATGCAAAAAACCAAAAGAAGTGGGGAAAAAAGCCTTTTTGTTATTGTTCTAACCCTGCTTGTACAGTGCATTTGTAAGAATAGCAAATAATGAGAACCAAAATTCTAATACAAAATAAAAGCCAGAGCAATTGTGTGGATGACAGAGGAATTTAAAACAGTTCCATAAAACTAAAACAATTTTCTCCAAATTGCATTGCTTATACAAATTGTATTGCTTATCAGAGAAGATTGCCTAGTTTCATAGCTAAGGGCTGGGCTGGTTGCTTTAAGAGGTGTTTTCCTAGAAAGTGGTTTGAAACAGAAACATTTAAGGAAGAAAGAGTAACCAAAGTGAACCAACAAGGAAAAATAGAAATCCATGACCTTTAAGAAAAAGAAATAGTTCAAGAATAATGATAAAGGCAGCACTAAAAGTAGTTAGTGGAAACCCAGCAGAAGACAGGTTTCTAGAACAACATCAAGAGAAAATATATATCAGTGGAACTCACTGCCACAAGGCAGATCTGAGGTCAAGAATCCTAGATTTATAGAATAGTTAGGGTTGGAGGGGACCTTAAGAACAAGAGAGTCATAAGCAGTAAAGCTGTGTTGTTTATCATGTATGGCCAGACAAACTCTGGAGGTTTTGGATTCAGCTGGCTCCTTGGGAGTTGTTGTGCTTCTAATTGTCTGAAATTCCTTATCCCACAGGATGAACATCAGTGAATGGCAGCATTCCCGTATACAGAGAGTAAAGCAGATGTCACTTGGTTTTCAGGAAGCCTTGTCTGAAAACGTGATTCCAAACTACGTGGATAGAACAAATGCTGTGTTGATTGTGAAACTGTAAAGCGTGGTGATAAATGGCAGTATCAGAGATTGTGTCATTGTGGATGGAGGATCCTGGAAGGTTTGATGCTGCAATCCCATTTTACTGAGTATCTAATATCTAAAATATCAAATAAATGGTACAGTAATGAAATTTGGAGACTGCATCACATTTGGAAGAATCACAAATATTCATGTTGGTGGAGCAGCAAATATAAGGGACACCAAGATTTACAAAAAAAAAATAGGAGAAAAGGTTATGAATGATATCTGCTGTGGAAGCAAAGCACAAACTGCAAATATTATCACTGTTCTTCAGTTAACTTCATAAAAAGTTAACTGATCTTCTAGGCTGAAATTCTGACCTCAATTGCATGTAAACGAGAAAACTACCAGGGGCTTCAGGAAATTCAGCATTTAACTCTCAGCTGTTGTTTTTTTTTTTTCTGTTTGAGAATAGGATTTTCAAACGTGACCAAGAGATTTGGAATCAGAATCATCGACTGGGTAGAGCTGGGAGGGACCTTAAAGATCATCTAGTTCCAACTTCCCTGCATATACCTGCCCTTGGGTCCCTTTCAGAGCAGTTTGCAAAAGCACATTGCTAAACAGGTAGCATACACATCTGCTTGAAAACTGGTCAGCTTTCCTTACCAGAAAAGACCAACTGTTTATGTTTCAGTGATGCTCAGTTCAAACTGCACTATCCTGTGCTACATCAGTTCTACAGGTATGTCACTGCAATCCAATCCATTTAAATTTGTTCTTCTCTTCCACCTTCACCAAAAGCACGTGGAAGAAACACTAGAATGAGTTTTTCCAGCATTTTAAATCAATGTTTAAGAGAAACTATGTTTTAGCCCAACACGGGTTATGATGTAGGAAGAACTATGTGAAATTTAAGAGCCTGGGTTATCCAGGAGGTCAGACTACCTGATCCTGGTCCTTTTCTGCCCTTTAACTCACCGAATAAATTAGAAATCTGATCTCTCAAAGTTTTAATTTCAGAGCAGTCTTTGTAAATGGGGGTGGAGTGGAATTCCTAATAAATTACATCCTCCTCCAACATTCATTTTGTCTCCCTGAGAAAGGGTTTCTTTTAAAAAACAATGTTTAGTTCCACATATTTAAATTACAGAAATTCATATCTCTTTATGTCTTACATCATACTGTGTGCCAGCACAGCAATTATTAAAGCATTTTTATTGATATTACACAGCTCTCTGTGAAATGTGAATTAAATTTATCATGAAAATTGATTTTTAATGACAGCTCAGGTTTACATTTCTAAAGTTCATACCTTTCCACTATTTTTTTGTTGGCACTAGAATAAGGAAGCTACAATAACTTTGTCAGAAATGGATTAGGAGATATCCTGTAGTTTACTCGTATTTATCAGTATAATTCTACAGATGAAAGCAGTATAGTTTCCTACTGAAGTTAGTCTGCAGAGAGCAGAACTGGACTAACTGGGCCACATCTTCATACCCAAGTACCTGAAGTTCCTACATCTGCCCTTAGGCACTTACAGGATTGTCTTGATTTTTGAAGCCGTTGAATGTGCTCAGCTTTCATTTTAATTTTATGAGAATTATGGGACAGCTCATCCCCGGAATCGACGTATCATCCTCTGCCTCTTTTCCCCCGTATATTGTCTTTCCTTATTGCCAACAAACTGCTGGAGGTAACTTTTGGTTCAGCAGACTGAACATGACACTGGATACTAAAGCAGTTAACAGTGCAGGGAATGCTGTTTTTTAACCTACATGTTTTTTCAGCTGCTTCAGATGGAAGGGGCACAAGAATTTTCCAGGCTTGCTATTTAATGTGTTGTATTAATATGCTTTCATGAAAACAGTCATCTGACATGGAACATGTAGGACCAGAGTCTGAGCTTACAGGTCTTCTCTGGCCTTAAGTAGACTGAGGACAGAAAGGTACAATGTGAAGTCAAATGCAATTACTGACCACTGCAAACAATATATGTCAACTGAACATCAAGCATGCTTAATGTTCAGGTAGCTTTCAGAAGGAAATTGGGTGTGTATTAGTGTAAGCTACTGTGGATAAAACCTCCAACTTGGTGAAAATGTCACTTTTGCTTCTCCAAAATAGCGGTATTTCTGTAAGACACATCTGTACAGGAGTTGGGAGGGAGGCTTGGGTTGTTTTTCATTGGCTGATGGGGGAAGGTTTATTGGTTGTTGTTAAAAATGATCCCAAGCAAACTTTTACAAGGTCTTCTGTGACTAATAAAACCTGAGTCTTTGAAATGTACTACAACCCAAGTTGCTGTTAAGAGATAATTCTCTTCGATCCAGATGCTTCCATCTCAAGTGCAGTGCAGAGAAAAGAGAAAGGGAGAAAGAAAATTGATGGAAAGCCCCTGAAAGCAGAGGGGGAAGTCTGCAATTTCTCTCCTTTTAACACTTCATACACTAGACTTGGGAAATAGCTTAAAGGTTCCTCTGCAGAGTACGGCACAATGGGGACTGAGAAGGACCCCTGCCCGGTGTGCTTACCTGTGAAGAGATCCATGGAAGGATAGTCCTTTCCAGGCTGGGTAGGGCACTGACACATCAGGATTTCATCTGAAAGGTGGGGTTATCTTCCTCAAAGTGTAATCTCTGTATCAATGAATTTTTCACCTCTTCTTGCACTCAGACCTAAGGGCCTGCTCGTGAGCAAGAGAGTGAGAGAAGGTATGGAGGCATTTTCTCACTGTCCTGCAAGACACAATATGGCTGCTGCTTGTACAGTGATGCAGCATCATCTCCTCCTGTCTTTAGAATATTCCCTCCAGAGAGGAATGAAGATATTTTCATGGCCACCCATCACTTGGGTGTTAATTTCATTTTTGGCCAATCCTTTCCCCTTCTGCCTCTTCCCTCTTACATCTTGTTCCTGACCTCTGGACTTCATGCTTTAGTCTGGAGAGGCGGAGACTTCAGTCATCTCTGGAAAAGCAAGTTTGTCTGTTTGTAAACAGCAAATCATGACTGGCAGCCTTGTTTCATGGGACACCAAATCCTTCTAACTAGTAGTGATAGCTAGAAATCTAAGGTGCCTTTAAAAATCCCAACCCATACATCCAATATATTCTGCAGATGGTACACAAGCAGCCCCAGTATTTACAGAACCTCACCGGTATGTCTTGCTTACCTGTTTGCTTACCCCATCTAAAACATCCCATCAGCAGACACTGCATATATTTTGTTCTGAGAAGGCAATCCCTTTTTATCTTCCATGAATCTGAAAATACACCAAGCTCCTCGAACGAAAAATAAAAAGAATAATGAGGCAGACACAAGCAGTATAAATCAATATAGCACTATTGATGTCAACAGAGCTATGCAAATATATACTAGCTGAGGATGACACAGAAAATCAAGCACTAACTTTATACGGCGAAAGAAACAACAGCAGCAATATTAAATACACTTTTCAGCTATGCTCAGAATGGATTGTGGAGTAAGTCATTGTTGTAATATGTAATTTGAGAGGGCTGTGAAATCTTCTGTGAGCATGTTGCTTCAGGAGACGGAAGAAAAATCAAAGCACAGCCTTGGAAATAACATTCCCCCCTGATATTAACAATAAAACCATAACACTCTTTGGCTTTAAATAACAATTCTAACCAGTTTTTGCTCATTGTTACAAATTCTGCTCTGCCCCAAAGAGTCAAGGTTGCAGCAGCGCCCGAACAAACGCCATTGGAGGCAAGTGATTTGCGTCAGCATTGGTCAACATGGAGTTTTACTAAAAACATCATTATTTCTGAAGTCATTTCTGCCTGCAATGAGAGTTATGGTTGTACTGCAGGCAAAGTTCCAGTAAGGCACTGGGTCTGCTTGGATAAAGCCCCTTAAGAGTAAATAAGAAACAGCCCGGTATCATTAGTGAATGTGCTACTCTCTTTAGCAGAAGAAGCTGCTGGGCTCACAAAAAGCAGTAGTGGTGACAGAACGATGTATCTTTTGGTTAAGCTGCCAGTCGAGCGTTGGTTTATCAGCACAAGACTTACCATATGCATGAAGCCCGTTTGTGAGCTGATGAGCTCCTGACTCTGAGGTTCCCCACTGTCAAATCTGACCACAAAAAAGGGTAGTGGGTAAGCAGAGCTAAGGAAAAAAAATAATAATTAATAAATCAACACCTTAGCAATTAATGTGTGCGCCTACCCCGTAAGTTCTTCACATAGCAAACTTCTGTGTCAAATATTCACCTAATATTCATTTCACAGAATGGAATTATTCCTCATACACATTAACTGAGACAATTACTGAAACGCCAACATCAGATTAGCTACTGTATCTTGAAAAGAACAAAAAAGGAAACATTACTACAGCGAATTTCAAAGTGTTAAAAGGCTCAAAAGGTTGTTCAACCAGTAGACAATTTTAAGTAAAGCTAATAAAACATGGACACTTCATTATTCATACATGAGAAAGGCTGCATTCAGACCCTGCATTTCAGTAGAGAAGCTGGTCTATAATATCCTGTCTTTTGTTCATCGTTTCCATGATCTCCATACATATCTTGTTTATGTAGCAATTCTTTTAGTGCACTGAAGCCCAACCCAGGGAGGTCAAAGAAGAAATCCTCACCGTTTCAATAAGCTTTAAATCTGGTCCCAGTCACCTTCTTGCCTGTTTTGGGATGGAGCACTGAGCAGGGCAGGAACCTCATGCTGACAGCTCAGTGCTTCCCAGGAAATAACTTCTCCCTTGTTTCACTGAATCCATAGTAAAATCCTGGGTTCTCTCCTCCTGAGTAAACCTGAAAGATCACCTTCACCTTTAATTTGTAGCAGGACTATAAGATCCAAATCAAGAGCCACATCAGGAGATTTGTGATCCATTTTCAGGCCCTGGTTCTGATATGTGTCATGAATAGCGGTGTGCAGATTACTCTGATCATTTGTTCTTCACTCAGACCGCCCATGGATATGGGAATGAAATAAATTTCCCTGTTTGCAAAGTGCCTTAATAGTGCTCACAACAGCAGTCATGAGCCAAGGCTAAGGACATGCTGCCTTGGGTGCTAAATGCTACGGGGAACTGAGGTTTCCAAAGTCAGCTGGAGAATTTGGATACAAATTATGGGAATTTTAATAGGCATCCAGATCACCAAGGCCAGTTTAAAACATCATCTTTAAGCATCACTAGCCATAATGACTCCAGTTTTTCGCTCCAGTCATTTTCTCCTGCGTATCCAGTTAGTCATTATTTCTTTGTATTCTTTCTGCCTCTTTCTAGGCAGAGACCTTCTAACCATAAAGCTTCCAGGAGCATAACCTACTGTCAAATGAGGCAAAACACCAAATAATTAAATGAATAAGCAGTATCAAGGTCCATTGAAGGAAGAGTTTGATTAGGTAGAAGCTGACTTATGATTTTACTGATCTGATGTACCTTATTTTCATCTTCTCTTTTCCTGTCAAAGTGTTCTTGCCATTTAAAAGTTAATGTCTTGATTTGACATTTTCTCCCATTCTGCATCCCACTTGCTATAATTACAGCTCTTCCACCTTCCAGTGCAGCTTTTAAACACATTATTATTTATGTATTTTTAATCTTTTTTTTTCCCCCAGACTGAAATTTATTTGTAATTTCTCAGGGGGAAAAAAAAAAAAATCTAGTTAAAAAAGAGCTCCCAGGGATTATGGGAAGGAAAAAGGAAGGAAAATAGGATAAGGAGAGTTATTTCTTGTATAGGGCATAGTTGAGCTAATAAAGGAAAAGTTTCATCTCAAAGGGCTGGTCAAATCTTTTCAACACCAGACAGATGGGATCATGAATCCCTTGAGGTGGGCATAATTCTTGTGTTCTCACTGCTGGGCACTGTGCAAGCAGAAGTTCTTGCTCATGACCAGTACTTCTGTGGTCTCTTCCCAAAGCAAATAATAGCAGCAATAGCTTAACAATAAAAAAATATAAACTGCGAGATAGGGGAAAAAATGCTTTCACAGGGATATCAAGAATAGGCCAGCTATATAGCTGGCTGTGCACTGTGTATAGCCAAGACTTTACCCTTGGCACAGCAGCATCTCTGCAGACTGCTACATCCTATTTGTTACATGTTGAGCAAACAACACTGTCCTGTGGGAGGTGCCATATTTTAGCCCTTATTTGAATCATTTCTATAGATTTTTTTTTGTTAAAGCATGCAGTGATCCAGTGAGGCTTTCCAAGAACCTCCCCACAGTGTGGGTGGTAATACAAACACACTGCTTCAGACCTAGCTGCCTCCAGAAATGGCAGGTAAAGCGCTTACCTCACCTCTTTCATAGTAATACCATGAAAACCTACTGTCCTAAATCATGCCCAGAAGCCTCATACTCATATTGCACTTCTACTGCGCCTCATTCTCCCTCCTTCCTCAAGATAGTCTTTTACAGTACAACTTAGAAAATTATGATAGTGGGCTGATCAAGGACCAGCCATCAAAGGTCCCGTTCACAGAGCTGCTGTAAAGCCATGTCTCATCCCTGTGGCAGTCACAGGATCATTTAGCTTGGGAAAGCCCTGTAAGATCATGGAGTCCAAGCGCTATATAATCCTCACAGCTTCATTATAAACTGATGGCTGGTACTACACACACTGCATTTCTCTGGAACTCCACACTGAACCAGAGACTGGAAATGCTAAACACCCTTCAAGTAGTAAATGCCTTTTCTGAACATCTTAACTTAATAGGGTTTTATTATTTCAGCCACCTGCAAAAACAGAACATGACTCACTAGGCTGAAAATGTTATCTTTTCAAGATCCCAATTTGTTGACTGTGTGTGGTTGGGGGGGGATGTTCTTGTTGTTTTCTATTTGCTTTTGGTTTATCCTCAATTCTCATTTCATTTCCCTTTGTATTGATTTTGCAATTTGCCTTTCTGCTTTTCACGTTTCACACACTTAGATTTGAGTGCTTCTACTTCTTTTCTTTCTGCATTAGTACTTAATATGTGCATGTGTCTCCATGTTAAACACAGGGGTTCTCAATATCTTATCACCTGCAGAGTACTCTCACCAAGAGTTTCCTTCTTTTGTTTTTGCTTGGGTCACACTAATGGTTATCCTGGCAGTTGAGTGTTGGGAACTCTTTTCAACCAAATAAGTCAAACCATAGAAACAGAGTACAGGGGTTCCTTTGATAACTCCTCTGGTCCTTAAGCAAGTTCATAGGTTCAGAGATTACAGCCATGTTCATAGCATCGCTGAGCAAATGTTAGGATTTCAGCAGAAAGTCTTCTTCCCTTCTTTATTATGAATATGCTAACATAAAGGGAAGTACAAATGGCTGGAGTGTGAAATGCTGTTGTCTCTGTGCTCGGTATTTCCAATGGGTGCAATACTGATCGGTACAGCTCAAAAAAGAGAGGGTGCAACTGTCTTCAGGCCTCAGGTTTAACACAGAGCAGCTGGACAATGCCGTTTACACAGACCTCTCCAGATGCTTCTCAAGCATCCTTAGCTTCAGGAACAGCATTTCAGTGACTGTGGAACTTTTTACCTACCCTTCGGTGCTCTGTCTTGCCCTTAGCCACCAACATAAGCTGCAGGTCAGAAGGGGAGGCATCATGGCTCTGCTGCACATAGTGCCTGCCAATGGGTTAGATGGCATTTGTGGTTCTCCTTCAGTACAGCTGGAGGGCAAAAATGTACCTCCTGCACCCAATATTGCATTTAAGAAGTTGTTATATGTTGCATGGTGTGTAGCCCCAAGCATATAAAAACTACATTGTGGTAAAAGCACATGTACATCTGTTTAACTTTACTGCCATGAGTAGTCCCATTCAAATCTCTATGATTAATCAGAAGCAAAATCTGAAGTGTAGGAAGGGCAGGACCAGGACATTACAAATAAGCAGGCTGAATCTCCTCATTCAAGAGGATCACAGCACATACATTTGCTGAGGACAAAAGATTGATTGGCCAATTTCTTACACTGTATTATAGCTGTATTTCTTATATTGCCATGGCCTCAGGAACAGCATGAATTGTTACCCTGCCTGGTTTTGATCCTTTTAGAATCATAATCTGTTGCTTTCATTAAACAACTTAATTTAGTCATTCTAATATTTTTAACTGAAAAAGCATCACCCAGTTTCAATGAGTTCTTGGCTTTGTAGAATAGGATATGATCTACTCTTACCTCAAATCTTTGCTGTCCAACAGTATTTCTAGTGTGAGCAGCTGAAGACAAGTGACTGTTCAGTAATCTCAGCTGTTAAATAATAAGAAAAAAAAGACATTAGCCTTCAGGGGTTTGAAAAACAGTTTTTAGAAGACTGTAGTATAGTATATAGTACACAAATCACATCCTTTCACAATGAGCTGTTCAACATACTTTTCACAAATCAGCCCTGTAATTTTGCAGGCTGTTGACTTGATTTTAGCAAATTTGGCCTTCAGAGTTTTGAGAGTATGAAATCTCTCTTTGTAATTACTGAGAATCCTTTTTTTCTTTTAAAGGCTGATTTTTAAAATTGATTGGAAATTAATTTACCTAGCTTGAGTCTCAGAAAATTAATTCTGTATTCACAGAGCAAGTTGCAAGTTTAGGGAGGATATGCTGTGTTCATCACACAAATGAGAGTTAATAGCTGTTTTAAGCACTGCATGCATACCAGTGCACAGTGTAGAGCTGCAGAAGATGCTGAAGATCTCTATTACAAAGATGAATAGGATTGGGTTAAACAGCATGAATTATTCTGTGTTTTGTTTTTCATTCTTATTATTCAGACCCTCACAGGCTGTGTCAGATGTTGCATTTTGCCAGGAAGCTCTTTCAGAAGCACTTCAGACATTGTTTTCCATGTGAAGAGCTGTGGTTTTCCAGGAGTGATTCACCAGCAGTGAGGTGTAAATGAGGCTCCATTTTTGGTGCTTAGCTAGACTAGGGTTGTGTGGTAATAGAGCTCTGACAAGAGGAAATTTATTGGTGATTTATCATTTTTCCCCTGAAGAGGAAAGATTCTTCTGCCCAATTTTATCTTGAAGAAAAACCAAGAAACCTCAGTAAGAATATAGTAGAATGCCCCATTTTGTCAGTATGTGGAAGGCACTGGGATGACTGCCATTGCCTCAACAGCTCACAGTGCTCCTGTAGTGTTTCAGTAGAGGAATTTTGTTCCTCCAAAGAGCTGGATTCTCCTGAGGAGCCAAGCTGACCCTTCCAGAGCTTTGGAATGCTATAGCAATGGAGATAAAGACATTGCAGAGAAAATGACCCACCTTGGAGCAACCAAAATTTAGGGAAAGGCAAGCCTGCACATTTATTTATACAATGAATGATGATGGTATAAAACATGAAGAGACAGTGGCAATATAACAACCCCTAAAATCATTTCCAAGCACAACACTGTACCTTTTAGACAATCAAAATTACAGTCTGAGAGTACAAGATTAATTAAACTGTGACAGAAGTCAGTGTTTCCAAAATCAAGTGAAGTGAAATACTTAGAAGACTCCTGAGTAGTAAAATGACATAAAATTCAGAAATACCTGCTCTTTCAGATTTATAGCTCTGCATCCTCAGGCTCTCCACTTGCTTTACTTAATCAGCCATACAGCCTATGCGTAGACAAGGAAAGGAGCAAGGTAAAAAGCAAGTGGTGCATAAAGGATACTGAAGTTGGACAAGGCTGCGTTTTCTGTTCTTCGCCTTTTTCTCCACTCAAATCTTCCCTGCCCTCCCCCTCCTGCTCTGCTTCTCACTAGTGCTTGTTGAAGGCCTGTCTGGATTTTTCTTTATTATTACTGTTTTATTAGAAGTTCAGTTCCTGCTGTGTCTGAAACATTCTGCGATAGCTGGAGAATAAGTCAAATGTGACACTACATAAAATAAGAGACTTGACTGACTGCGATAGGAGGAGATTTACAATCTGAGCGTGCAAAGCTTTGTGTTGTTGGGTTTTGTTAACACTTAATTTCACTTCTCTGGCTGGACTCACATTTTCCTCTATTAAACTTTCGCCCAGCTTCTTCTCCCTTCAGATATTCTGGGAGAGTTGAGTAAGTGCATTTCCTGAGATACCCTGTTGAAGGATTAAAATAAATGCTTTGGCTGAATTACTGGGGCCCAGGGGAAAAGTCTGGGGATAGAAACCCTGGATGATGGGACAAGGTCAGATGCTGGTCAGCTGTAATCACCCAGGTGAAGCACTGACCTGCTGGAAAGTAACCACAGAGACAACCTGAAGTAAGACAACATTAAGTAAGGACAAATTGTCCTCACACTCCACCTGGATGGTTTCACTCACTGAGTTTACTCACAGTCTCAGTGAGGATGCCGTAACACATCGAGTAAAAGCAGAACTGATCTGTACCCCACATTTTTAAGGGCTGGCTTTTTTCTTAAAGCAGTTCCCTCACCCATCTTCTCCTCCCATCACCCTTTAAAGAGCTGTCAAGCAGCAGGTTTATTTTTGCTGAATCCAAATTTAGGGTGTTAGGGAACAAACCAACCAGGGACACATTTCAGAGAAAGACTCCTTCACATTTTCAGCACAACACACAAGCAAACAACTCTCTTTCTGAACACTTACATCCACCACCATCTCCTCTTGCTCCCTCATTTCTCTGAGCTGAAAGTCACTTGAACAAGTTCCATTCTGGCAATAAGGAAACTAAAACAATATTCTACATGATGTTAATAAAGCATCATCTTACTCCCTCCATTCCAGCTGCCAGAATCTAGCAGGGACCCTTGCAGTGAAAAAGTAGGCATCTCCATCTGACTACCATATCACAGCTACATCCTAGCTTCTTCATGCTCCCCTGTCTGCATTCACTCCCTCTCTTTCCTTCTCACCAACACAAGCTTTCCAGGGCAGCAAATGCTCTTTACGTTTTACATTTGCACAGTTGCAAGTACAATGCAATCCCTACCCTTAGGCATTAGCACAATGTAAGTCTCAAAAAAACCAGCATTACATTTTTGCTTTTACATATGGCTTTGTGTAGAACGTGGCTCTGAACTTGGCTTGGCCACAACTATCTTCTCTGTACAAACAAGCCAGAGGGAAGCAAGTCCGTGGGAGCATTAGGAGCTGGGTAAGGAGAAGGGCTGAAGGGTGGTTGCACAGAGCACTGGAAGGCTCCTGGACCTGGCACAAAGGGGAGATTGGATGAGTGGGTGCTTTTGAAGTTGGTCACTGCTGAGCAGCATAAGCACTTGAGACCTCACTGAGTCCAGCCAGACACAGTAAGCACAGCTCCTGGGGAAAGCTGAGCATAGACAATCAGCAAACACCACTGCTTTGCTTGCCCTGGGGCAGGAGACAGCACGAAGGCTGTCAGAGGCCACCACTTGGGTGATTTTGACAGCTGACAAATATCCTGGTGGAGAATGACCTATTCACCAAAGGCAAAATTAATAATGGATGAGGTTTGAAGGAACCGTTCAGGAGTGCTGTGTTTGGCTGTTAGGTAGCGGTGGTCCGGGTGCTCAAGGTCACCACTAAAGGGGATGTTTAATGCCCAGCTGACACTCCCCTTTGATTTCAAGTTCCCTTTAAAATTCATTTGCACACTCCCTGGCTGACTCAGACACACGCTGGATTAGTAACACACACCGCTGCTCCTCTCAGCTCCCTATTCCTTTCACTGCCTTTGAGCATTCCAACAATACTTTTGCTCTTGCTTATCTCAGATGTTTTATCTGTCTGCAGTATTTTCTCCCTGTGCTGCACTCATTTCCCTCTCTGTCCCTCCATGTAATCCTTATCCTTCTCTGTGCTTCTTTAATCCTGACTGCCCAATTATGCAAATTGCACATTTGCATTTTGACAGGGCTCCTCCACCCCTTGTCTGACGTTATCTGTAACACAAACCATTTCTCCATGCTCCCCCCAGTTCCTTGCTGCCTCTCAGGTTCCTCACTGGGATGGTGTGTTGAAAACGTGGGGCTCAGCCTTGATCCCTCTGCCAGCGCTGGGCAATGCAGGCAGCCCTAATGCTGGGGCCATGCTGCACAGGACAGCTCAGAGGAGATCACTGTCCTCCTCTTAATGTGTTGGTTGAGAATAGAAATAGGTCTTCTCACCTGAATTCCCTGCCATCAGGTACAGGAGGGCTGTAGCTGCAAGAAGCTGAAGTGGGAATATTAGTGCAGGTGAAGTAATCTCCCACTTCGTGTCACCCAGTTTAGACTGGATATTAGGAAAAAATTCTTCACCTAAAGGGTGCTCAGGCATTGGAACAGGCAGCCCAGGGCAGTGGTGGAGTCACCCTCCCTGGAAGTGTTCAAAACAACATAGATGAGGCCCTCAGTGACATGGGTTAGTGGTGGCCTTGGCAGTCTTGTGGGAACAGTTGCATTTGATGATCTTAAAGATCTCTTCTGTGATTCTATGATTGAAGCAGGTTTCTAGTATTTTTTTCAGAATGCTGTGGTTTGATAGCTATTCCTCAAAGATTAGCTGCACTTGTTACATCTTGGGATAAAAATAACCCATAGGACCCTTAAGAATCAAGTTCAAGTAGAGAAATTAAATGCTGTTTCTTTCATAACTTAGCAAAACACACAAGATCTTATAATAGCATCTTCCACATTAAGGTGCATTTATTACTACTGTACTCTGCACCAGCTGTTATAATGCCCTCATCTCTAGCACATTTAAGGTTTTTCTTACTAGAGTAGCATCAGTTTCTGCTTCCACTCACTCTCTTTCTTGGAGGAGGTTTCTTTCTGCAGACTCGTGTTTTATTTGGGTAAGGCCTTATTTATCTTAATTCTAAGTACATCCTGCTCTGCGTTTATACCGGAGAAGACAAGGTCAGGAAAGTATACATCTTATTTAGACTGGAAAGCGCTGAAGTCTGAGGGCTCCCTGGGAGAAGTCTCCCAGTGGTAGGCAGCATTCTTACTGCTCTCTCATGATGACCTTCATTAGCTCCCACATGAGTTCATTACCTCATCTCCCAAGAAAGCTTCATATCTGCAACATGTCACACAGTGGTAAAATTACATTTAAAAGTACAAAAGCCATCTTAGCTGTGCTGGACTGGAGCCAGGCTTACAGAAAACACCAGTGGCATCTCCAATCCTATCCCACCTTCAGGACACTGCCAGTACAGAGGGATTATTTGCACGTTACAGATGCAGCGATGTATCCCCAAGAGATGACCATCCCCTAAGGTAGGAGAGGCAAAGGCTGGGAGTGAAGAGGCATCACACACAGTTACACAGAGGCAGGAATAATTAGCTCAAGCTTAGCAAGAAGCCGGCAGGAAAGCTGGAAGCCAGACCAGGGCACAATGAACTGCACGCTATGAAGTTTGCTGCGTCATTTACGTACATATGGATTTTCATAACAGGAATGTATTTTCTCTCTTCTTTCTTTGTCAAGCCTGAGTGAGTGCACGGTTACAAGACAAAATTGCCTTGACTTTCCAGGACTGCCGTCCGTGCCTGTTTTCCATTGCTGCTCTCACACCCATTCTTCTTTGTCATTTCCAGCCCCGTTACAAGCCTCATCTTCGCTCCTCTCCTTTTCTTTCCCAAGACAACATGGAAAATTCACATTGCTGAGGGTGAAGTTGGTCAGAGTGCTGTCTTCTCTCCCTGCAGCTCCCTATGTTTCTTCAACACACATTTGCCTTTCAACTTCTGTTTTAATCTCCCTTTTATCAATCTCCAGATAAAGTCCCGTTGGTTTCCATCTAGTCCAGCCCCTCATTTACATTCCCGACGCATGCCTTTCTATACTTAGTTCCAACTTCCTTCTCTGTTTTATCACCTCTCTTATCTGCTACCTTCAGCTTAGCATCTTTTATCTTCCCCCTTTCCTCCCCCTCTCCTTTTTCTGTCCATTTTTAAATGAACTCTTCATGCACCACGAAGTCCACTGCCATCATTCCCAGTCCTGAGTTCCAGCTGGCCTAGGCATGCCTTCCCTGGCCAATGGAGCTGTGCTGTGCATCCCCTGCATGCACTGCTGGATAAATGGCCAGCATTAGAAATGTTCTGTGAGATGGATACCTGTGGCAGTGCTAATGTGCCACCACTAGTGCATCTTGCTGCAGTCATCACATCAGTCCTGGGGGAAATTATAGCAAGATGATGTACAGCACTAGGCCTCCTGTTTTAATCCCAGCTCTTTTGCATCCTGCCAGAGAGAAGTACAGTCGCACGAACAGCTGGAAATGACTGGCCTGTTATCACGGTGCTGCTGGATCATTGCTTACTTCACCCTGCACTGGCTTCTGTTGTGTGCCGACTGCTTGTCACCAAGTTAAGATGCAGGGGAGTTGGACCAGGGGAGAGGAGAGCTGGAGGAGGAGGTGATTAACACTAATGGTCAGGACTGGCGAGATGAGGCTGGTAATGGCTGCTTGTTGCTTTTTGCTAGCTGAGTAGAGTAATAGCTATATGAGAAAGGGAAAGGTCAGATACTGAGGGAAATAGAAGATACTTAAAGCTAAATGCCAGAACATCAGTTTAGCAAACTAAGGAAATATTTCCTCTCTTTGTGCATTATGGGCCTCCAGAATGGCACAGCAGGACTAGGAGGTGCTGCCACTGCCCCTGCCCTGCTTTGGCCATGAAGGAGCTGCTGCAGCAGGGAGGGGTTTTCTCCACACTTCCATCAGCAC